TCACCCACTTCCCATTTTGCATACTGGCCAATTTTTTTGTTTTCATCCAACATCTCAAATGAAAGCTCTCTTAGGGGAGAATTACTCATTGCCCTGACATGGAGGTTGTGGTTACAATGTTGTGGGTTTTGGATATGAAGTTTTCTGTTGCAGGTGTGAAGTCGGGGGTCACAGGTTGTCAGCATAACAGTACAACATTGACTGGAAATGGCTTTGAAGTCAAGTGTGACACAGATGATGCCTTTAAGTCTCTATGCAGTTAGACAATCACCTTACCTGGTCAGGGTCATTCCAGTGTCCAGGTCCAGCAACAGGTATCATTTCATGTTGGTGATCACCATACCATTCTACAATTCTTACCAAACTGAGCCAAGAATCCTTGCACATATAACAATAAACAAGTTGTCAAGAACAAAAAGGAAGCAATAATGATGCAGTTCAGCTGGGGTTAATAATCATGCATTAGCAAATTGAGTGCAAAATAATGAAATAAAAATCACTTTTGTTAATCACTTTATAATGATGTCTAACCTGTATATCATTGTAATTCCTCCATAAATTACAGTGCTTTGCAATGAGCTGGTAATTAGGCTGGTGAGCAAATTAAGAACACTCATTATCACAAATTGTGTGGTTCCAGAAAATATCCATACCCCCACCACGGAGGGAATTGGAAATTCCAGAGGGGTGGGGGGGTCAAAGTCCCAGGAAATTCCAGAGGGGATGGGGGTAAGAGGCGAAATTTTCATCCAGAGGGTAGGAAGTCGATCGACTTTCTTCGTATGTCAGTTGGCGCCACTTGCCTACTTTAGTAGGACGTTCTGAAGTTTAAGTTGTTAAATTACGATGCTTCTAACAGTTCTGCAGCCAAAGAAAGTTTTCTTTTATCCTTATAGCGCTTTGGAACATAAATAACATCAAATAAAGAAGAGAATCAATTTGTTTTTCGAACGGAGCCGCCATTTCTCGTTACCAGTCTCCAAAGATTACAACCAACAGGAGTGGTTACCTAGGGATTTTCCTCGGTCATAACACGTTTCGCGTTCGTAAAATTTACAAATAACTGTCTGATGCTGTTTTTATATCAGGTGCTTTGGAAATCAGCCAAGTGATGAACACAAGCGCTTATTTGTTAGATTTAACTGCTTTTATTTCTTCTACTTTTACCGTCATTTAGCAGCTAATTTACCTTTTCAGTTTGGTTGCATGTAACCACAGCGCTAAACTAATTTGTGACCGCCTTACTCATAAGCCTCTGTGAAATAAAGAAGCGGCTAGAAGCGGCTATATATGTATATATGCTTGGTAGATATTTATGCACAATCGGACTTGTGTAAAGAAATTTTACATTAAAGGCTGGAATTTGGAAAGATGAGTTCAAAATAACTTACTGCTGACTCGGTTTTCTAAATGTGATTTCGAACGTTTTTCTCAGTTCATTGTACAAACTTAACAGTTCAAAAGTGGTTTATCAAACGTTAAGTTTAAGCTAGTTAGCGAAAATATACACATAAAACACGTCCCTCTTGTTTGTTGTTTGCTATGAGAAAAAAATATATTTCAGAAAAAAGCCTCTCTGGCTCCTGGGAAAGTTAATAGTAACAGAGAAATATCTTAGATATAAACGAAGCTAAATGTTATCCTATATGGATCCTAAAACCATAAAAACTTGACAGAAAAAAGCCTCTCTGGCTCCTGGGAAAGTTACTTTACTTCTGATATGGCACTGAAGGGTGAAGGTTGTCAGCAAATAAACTAAAATTTATCCTCTTACACAACTGACATAGAAACTTAATCAAACCATAGTCTTTGGTGCATATCACAGATAAGGGTAGGCCTAAAAGCTAGAAAGTAATTCATCTGAGATTAATCAAAAATTTTATTGCAAAATTACCGTCATTCCACCCCACACTTGATAAGCAGGCCAGCTACAGGAGAACACAATGTGTCTCCCTGTTTCATTCAATGCTCTTGTAACTGTTGGGTAGCCTACATCAAATGTAAGAGGATCAGCAAAACAACCATCCATCTTGAGATAATCCACACCCCAGTCAGCAAACAACTGTAGCAAATAAATGAAATGGGAATCTATAGTTATTCAACAGAGTGATGAATTTGATCTCTCACAAGTGCCTCTGCCAAAAACAGCTACAGCAGAAACTGCAACATGAATCTTGCTTGCAATTAAGCCATGGAAATGATTATATCTTGTGCAAGAGGCAGTGTTTTAATTTGGTTTGAGTATTGCATTTTGAAGAGTTTTGTGTGCAAGTCAGTTTAATTGTGATACCATTTTGATGATGTTTCAGCCAATGATTTTTCAGAGAGTGTTATGTTACCTTAAATGAACAATGAAGTACCTGCATATCCTGTTGAATATAGTCTATGCTTCCTGGATAACGCTCACAGGTTAGATCACCATAATCTGGAAGAAGACAAAGTTCAAGTGCTGTGAATATTATTGATTCCTGTTTTGAACATGTATTTTTGATCAATTTAGATAAGGGAAACCACTGCCATAATTAAAAAGTTATGGTACCATTGTACCAAAGACCAGAGCGCTAACTAGATTGAAGCACATACTAATGGTATTTTCATTATTATTAATGTTTATCAACATTTAATTTCAGCAAGCAAGTAGTTAAATCTGGTAAAAGAAAGTATTTCTAAGAACACAGTCATTTAGTTGTAATATAAAATTAAATCCAATCTTTTGATTTTCTTCTGGAGAACTTCATGAGCATTGTTACCTGCATATAATCCAAACTTGAGACCTTTGGAATGAATCTGAGGAAAAGAATGATTGAAAAAGAAAATTCAATAAATCTGTGATGGAGAGTCACTAATTCCAGAAAACGATTGGAAGTAAATGAAAGAGAAGGAGTACTGAGTGGTATTTTCTAATTTACACAAGGAGAGAACTCTTATTAATAGTTTACTTACAGTTTGAAATAATTTATTGATTAGAAACCATTTTGTGAGGTAACAGTCATCAAGCTACAACAGGAAGCCATAAGAGCAAAAGGGTTGGAATGCTTGTCTCTCCTGCTGTGACTTAGGTCTACCCTTCCTCCCCTCTCCCCCTCCAACTTGGCTCTGGTCCTTCTCACTCAGGCTTCAGTTCAGATCCTCAGCTTCTCATTGCTTATAAAATTAATTTTTTTGTGTTTTCTTTTTTATTATTATTTTTTATTACTTACATAGTCAGCAAGCTTTTTAATTCCACTTGGAAATCTCTTGGGATCTGGCTGAAGATCACCTTCTAATGTGCGATTGTGAGAAGCCCAGCAGTCCTGAGACATGAGTCAGTAAATGTTAAAGTTACTTGATACTGCTAAACCTTGACACTCTAACATCAGTAAGCATAATCTCCATACTGTTCTCCTAACATTTCCTAATGTGCCAACAGGGAGAATTTGTCTAACAATCACAAGCCTCTTAAGTCAGTGATCAGTTCCTATATTCTCCTTACCTCAATGTATGATATAAGGGTGATATCTAACCTTACTACAAAATAATTCTCAGATTATTATAACAAGTTCTACATGCATCAAATTATGGGTAACTAACAAGTTAAGCATGGTACTTACATCGATACAAACATATTCATATCCAGCTTTTTGAAAGCCATCTTCAGCAATACGATCAGCCATTTGCATGAACAATTTTTCACTTTGGAGGGAAAAAAAAGTGACAACAACAAAGTATTAAATACCAATGAATAAAGGCAAAATATTTGAATCATTATCCAGCATATATCACATATTCAAATTACATATCTATCCACACAAAAATTATTTTTCTTCTCAGCTTTATACCCCTCATCAAAAGGAATCCCGGAGTGTATATCATACACATTTCAGTTTGTAAATAAAATAACGTCCTCAAAATTCAGTACTCTCCTTTTCAAGTTGTAATCAGTAAAATTTACCACCTATAGCACCTCTCACTACTGCCTAAAACTGCTTGGAATTCTAGAAAATTCAACAGGTGGAAGGATTTCTCTATGGGTTTCAATATTACTTTTACCTTTCATACTTAAAATAAGGGAGACCACAGAAGTTCCTATGGATAATCAGTGGTGAAAAAAGAATAACCAAGGTTACACATAAGTTTGAACTTGCTCTAATGTACTTTCAGCAATCTTTTGTGTCCAGTATTTAAGATACAGGCAGGGCAGGACTACTTTTACCTGATACAATTTTGTGGGTCATCCTTGCAGTCTATGTTACATCGAAATCTCTCCCATGCCATCCATCCCACTAAGAATAATATCATTTATAAAACTGTTTACTCAAACAGACACTTAGTTCAATGAAATTGATGATAATGCAGTTGTTATTAAGCGTTTAATAGTTAATAACGGTCATAATTGAGAAAACAGGCGCATCCCTGCCAAAATCATTTTTCCTACTACACACAACAAAGACATAACTTGCAGATAAGTCATAATCTTTTTACTCTAGTTTATTGGAGCAAATAGCAAGGTGATAGCCTTCCTAAATTGTAAATACATTTTTTCTTCATTCATGCCTCTTTCTCTTCACAGCCTTTATATAAACAAATGTCATTCCTGGGGTTAAGAGATATGAAAACGCCTAAGCGTTGCACAAAAATCGCACATCCAATCAAAACAGCTGATAGAGGAAAAAAAAGCAATAAATATTCCTGTGTAAATATCTCTTATTCCTCGCTTATCTGAAACTAAACAATGAAAGCCTTACTTGGTGGAGTGATGGCTAAGCCATTGTCGAGGGCATGTGCTGGAAATATGACCAGAAGTGGAAAGAAAATAAGTAAGTTTCTAATTAGCACCGCCATGTTCTTTCTGCTTTCAATCCCAAGCGCCAGCGACATCTATTTTTGTAGTCAGCGGTGATTTCTGAGTTAGTGTTGAAGAGCCAATCAGCGCTAAATATTTTCCATATTTTGACCAATCAACGATTAAAGTTAACAAGTTTGAAAACAAAGCGCGAGCGATTGCTTTCAAACTGATAAAGATGGCGGACGGCTCCAATAGGAAGGAAAACTGTTTTTCCGTCGAACTGAAACTTTTAGAGGCTGAATACGAAAGATCTAAGCTACAGGTGTTCCAAGATACGTTTTTCTGTAAACGGTCTATAGTAGAATTAGAACTCTTATGTAAAAACGAGCAGCTTATGAAGAATGTTCGAGTCAATAACAAACTCCGAGAACACGAATGCAGACTGAAGGTAAAACTGAAGGACAATGGTAAAAGATGTAGTCGCATGTTTATTTACCAAAATTTAGTCATTTCAGTTCTTAGAGCACTGAATTTCGCATCTATGGTCATTTGATAGGATCACATCTCAATCTTTTCTCCTGTATAGGAGCAGGTTGAATCCCTGTCAACGGAACTCGAAAACGCCACAAGCCAGCAACAAACCACTCAAAAGACACTCCAGGTAAATGCCGATTACCAATTCTTGTTTTCTTGAGCCTCCTTGGGATCGGCGAAATAGATTGCGATCGAGGTATTGTAGTGTAGGCTCCATTTTGGGTAACCTGTGGAAACCCTCCTCGAAAGTTCACACAGGTCTCGGAAAGATTCTAATTAAATTTGAGAGCGTCTGGATCTTTTATCATTATTCAATAGTCATTTTCATCATCATCATCTCCTCCGTGCTTGTCACTGCTGTTATCATTATCTCATTTTAAACTTTGACCGATAGGATGAAAAAATTCAGCATCTTCTGGAGAAGAAAGAACTGGAAGACAGAATGAAATCGGAAATGGATGGAAAAATTGAAAAGTACAGAGCCACTTCCAGTAACAAGGAAAATTTATGGAAAATGGAGATTAAGACCTGGAAGGTAATTTTTACGAAGCATTTTTCTAACGAACAAAAAGATAAAAACCTCTTGCTAGCCTTAAAGATAGTTTCACCACAAAGTGATATCCTATGTCCAAGGATTTGTACATGTCTTGGAGAATAGTTCTTGAACCCCTCTCCAATGAAACTCCTCCATTCATGGGGGCACGTCCTAGTTTTCAGTCATATTTTTCCTTTCCTTTCGCAAAGGACAAGCAGATTCAAGCATCTAAGGAAGCTGAAGAACTCAGGAGGGAGCTGAAAAAGAAAGAAGTTTCAATGAAGGTAAATTTTTTTTTCGTTTCGCCATCCTTACTTGAGGATTAAAGCGTTTTGAGTGCTATTTTTTAGTTTTTGTCCGTTCATAGAAGGGCGAGACTCACTTCATGAACTGAGCTGTAGTCTCTGTGGTCAGTTGCACGAGTTCGGACTGGCTTCGATCCTTGTAACTGAACGTAGCATCAAAATTCAGTCACCCTGACAGATTTTCATAGACTTAATTCAGAGCACACGAAGAAAATTGTCGCTGCGACTTTTCCCCGTGAAACGTCGCTGCGAATTGTCGTTTAGTTAACCCGGCCTTTCAGTGCACCCAAATGTTAGCCAGAAAAAGAAACGAATGCGGCAGAAACGCCTTCGGTAAATCAGCTAGTTTGTAATAAATAACATTTCCTTTTTGGAATAAGACCAAGGGTATTCAAGCCAAGACTGATGTGAACAACGCTTCAACAATGACTCAGGTTGATTCTCAAAAGAGTGACGCCTCGACACAAGTTCAAACCTCCGCTTTGATGAGCGAACTTTTCCAAGGGTCTAACGGCCAAGAGATTGGCGGAGATCTGCAAAATGGGAATGTGAGTGACAATGGAAAGAAGGATGTTGTGAAAGCAGATAGGAAAATGAATAATCAGAGAGGAAGGAAAAAAGCGGAACCGAGGAAAGATCAACACAAATATGACAGGGGAGGAAAAGCGAAAGATAAAACTGTCCAAGACAGTAATAAAGAACAAGAAGACGACAAATTTGGTAAGAAAGAAAACGAAGGAAAACAAAAGAGTCCTCAAAAGGAGAAGGTTCTTCGTAATCATAACGTTACATGCGAGAGGAGTACTTCAAATACACTGAGAGACGAGCAAAGGGAAATCCTTGAAGTCTGCAACGCCAGAGGTTTATCGATAGCATCTGGTGCTTCTGAAGAGGATGACGTTCCTTTCCAGGATTACAAAACCTCGGGGAAGTCACATAAATCACCAGAGACTGGTAAAAACCCGGATATAAGTGAAGATAAACCTGGTATGGAGGTTCAAGAGGAAGATGTAACCTCAGTGAAAAAGAGACGTGGTGAAATTGTACGAGAGGTGCTACAACACGCAGTTGTTGAGGATATTGCAAACAGGAGAGAATTGGAAAGTGGCGAAGAAGGAAAAGTGAAATTAAAAAACGACGACTTGCAAGATCATGAAAAGAAATTTGAGAAGAAACCTTCACAGAAGCAGATTCCTGAAAGTTTGAATCCAGGGACTGAAGAACAGAAGATCTCATCCATTGACGAAGACAACGATTTCTTTGTTGATTTGAGTGAAGAACAAAAACAATTGACTGAGGACAATAAAAAAGTAGAAACGTCTTCTAAAGATAAGCGGGATGAAGAGTTCTCGGGCGTCCAAGAACAGGACAAGAAAAAACTAAAGAGCACAAAGGAAAAAGGAAGCCAAAGACGAGTAACATCAACAGAGGATAAGTCTTCACCTGCGGAAGGCAACGCGATTGAGCAGAGAAGCGCACACGAAAACACAGATCAAGGGTCAAGAAGAGTCTTGAGAAGAAGAGCAAAAAAAATTAAACCAAAACCAAATGTTATTGACGGCGAGACCGTGGCAAAGAAATCCAAAGCCGGTGTCGAATGTCAGAAAGGTAGCGAACCCGCCATTTCGAAGACATCATCACCAGAAGTTAATCCATTTCCTCGTGACATTGACATGTCATCATGTGAAATTGATCGCCCGGGTGTTGACAAGTCACGCCTCTCACGTGCGACGACAGCTCACAAACCTCTTGACGGGACATCTCAACAACCGGAAACGGAAGTGCTGGAAGGGCTGAGTAATGGGACATCCGCTCATGGCCAACTTTCCAGAAATCAGAGATCGGACAAAGGGAAGTTGGTTTTAAGCGACAATTCAATCAAAACGGTCGAAGAATCATTATCTGACCATGAAAAACCCTCACATAGCGAGAAATGCCAAAGTGGGCTTGAAATTAACAATGAAAAGGAGAAAAATGACCTCCCCTCGAAGAACAGAAACAAGAGGCACACCGCGCAGGAGTTACAAGCAGTTGATGATGTCATTAAATCAAAGAAACAACAAGACGTAGGCACCACTGACATGGATTCTAACACGCAACTATCGTGTCAGGCTAATGAACAGAACTCGCGGGACACAGGTCGATCAAGAAAAAACGGGCAAGGTCCCACAGAATCAGGGGGCAAAGGGAAAATAGTATGGGGCACAAAAGAAAATGCACAAGGTGGCAAACAAAAGGTAATTAAGAAAAGGTAAGAAACTTTTCTTTTCTTTTTTCTTTCTTTTTTTTTTTTGTGAAGTTGATGAGGTTTTGTCAAGAAAGAGGAGATTTTTGCGAAAAGGTGATGAACATTTTTCAAAAACGTGACGACTCGAACCTCCTACCTTACGATTTCTCAGTCTGATGCTTGATCAGCTGAGCAATAGAACACTCGGCAATGAACAGGGCCTCTTTTCAGGACCAGAGGTGTATATTATTTTGAGGTATTTTAAGCTTAATATAAAAAGTCACTTTCCATTTTTTTCAGTCGCTACTCCATCTTCATTGGCGATTTCACTTTGTTATCTAGTGGATATTCAGTCTTCAGAGACAACTTCGAGTGAACGCCGCCCTCCAAAACACAAATAAAATTATAAACGCCAAAGCATTTAATCTAATTTATTAGGGAGTTTAATATCACTGAAATTCTTTCCTCCCTTTTTCCAACCACGACACGCAGAGATGACGCCAATAAGACTAAACAACATCCGAGCTTTGACAAGAAACAATAAGTTTTCGGCGTAAGATGGCATTTTGAGACAAATACTGCTGTGAAAAACAATGTCGAGAGCGTGACCTTGCAAAATATTCCTCAATAGATCACTTTCCTCGGGAATTTAAACTATGACGAGCTCAATAACAATACTGTCTTAAATTTAGATATTTCATTCAAAAATACCAGGGGAAAAAAATCTTTCCGGAGGCAGAACCTAATGAAATATATCTTTCCGGAGGTTTTCCTGCCTTTTAAACCTATTTTCTGAAACGAAGTGAATATCTTTCCGTTTTAAAGAGAGTCTCATTTAAAACGTCCTTCTTCGTATGGCCTGCTCACGAGGGGCACTTACGTCGCAGAAATCTCTTAGATTATTAAAACTGTGCAAAATCACAAAAAACAACAACGTGGCTCAGTCGAACTAGAGAGATTCCCAGACCTTCGAGGTATTTTGGTTACCATCGAAAAGAGACTCATTGGGTTGCCCAACGTGTACCGATATCACTTAGTGCTTCTTGGGATTAGTGTTACTTAATCTGTCACTAGCGAGTCCAGCCCCTTTGTAAACACGTAAAATACTGTGGTGAAAAATTTTGTTTTTGTCTGGTCTTAGAAAACCTACTCCGCGTGTCCGTGAGGTGCCCGCTCTATCCGAAAAGCAGTGTGGCTCGACCTGCACCACAAACACTGAAAACCCCTCCATATTGGACTGCACCAAAAAACGCAAGACTTTATTCAACTCGCGAGAAAATTCTCTACTGGTTCAGGTGCCAGATGTTCAGGTAAGGAAATGAAAGGAGAGAAAAAAAATTGAAATCTAATCGTGGTTTCTTTCTGATTCATTATAATATTTACAGAATTTCTTTCTTCAAACAGATATCGTTTGTGAATAAAACTTTGTCGAGAAGCCGTGCAAATGCTGGTATTCCACCATCCCTGTCGGCCTTCATGAGGAGTTTCATTGTTCCAAAACTCAAGAAATCAAGCTGATGTCACTCTTAGCGGGGTCGCCTTCTCCTGGATTCTTTCTGTGTAAATGAAGCTCCCGGAATTTTTCAAAGAATAAGCAGAGAACAAGGCTGATAGTGTTTGAAAAAATTCACCAATGTACGATCAAAACAGGGCTCGGATTTATGCTCATGGAGGGACATTTTAAGGTCTTTTTGTTTACGTTGTGGCTCTCAAAAAATGGAGATAAAAGCAGGAAACACTAAAAATAGCATGAATTGAGCCGAAGTTTTTTTTTCGACGATCGATTACAAAATAAGTTACGTCCCCATTTTGAAATGGCCCATTACATACGCCCTCGAATTAGAATTTGTGCAAGACACAACAACAAGGTTAGATATTACCGCGGTCAAAAAATGCTTTGGTCTTCCGTGACAATAACTCATTTTTTATCGTTAGCTGAAGTAAAAAACAATTGCGAATATGACTGATCTGCGTAGTTTGATGAATACTTTTGACCGCAACTATATTGTAACGATGTTTCAATCACAAAACCTGCAAAAAACTTATAGACTGTCACACGAGAAGGCGAGATCTAAACAGTATTGCCATTTGCGGAAGTTAAGGTGGCTACTTAGATCTATTTTAATTTACACATTTCTGTGTTGAAAAAAAAAATAGTATTTTGAAGGAGGATTATTTGTTTTAAACTGTATATGCAGCAATATCTTTGACATAGATCGTAAGAGGCCGGATCATGTGTCAATATTAGGATGTATTTTGTTTTCCTCAGCGATATTTAGGTATAGTACTGGCGTATATTAGCCTGTGTTTACGCTCCCTCTTTACCCACCCCTCTCCCCAAGATTATAGAAAGTTTTTGCAATACCATCCACCATTGAACCCTGAAATAACGAGTAGCTATTGTGGTTGTAAATTTATCATGTCTCAAAAAGGTGAAATCAGCTGTGCTTGTTTGTTTATTTTTCATCCATTGCATGTTTTTGATATTTAATGTTTTTAGATGTTTAATTTGCATGCAAATTAAAACCCGCGTGTTATAATGATGTCAAGTAAGTTAGGCACAATATATTTAATGTCTCTTTGAATAATTAAACCTTTTTAATTATAACAAAGATATTTTTAAAACCGACCCTACTTTCAGTTCTATAGCATCTTACTTGTTTACCTTCCCTCTTCCCTTCATTCAAGATAAAATAACCGCATTAATAAAACAGACAGCAAACAGGTGGAAGACGTTACTTCGTCCCTTTGTGAACATTTTATTTCGCCTTCTAATTTTTCCATCAAGAGGGGACTAAAAAAAAGCTTCGTATCAGCTTTTGAGAAATGTGCGTCGAATTAAAACCTGTCATTAAGTGACAATATTTTTAAATCCGCCCTCTTCCTAAAAGCATTTGTCAGACAGTAAACAAAGTTCTGAAATGAGTTACTTTCCTTAACAAGGTTTAAAAGCAATTAAGGAATTCTCAATTTTCATTTTGAGTTTCCTGATGATCGAGTCTCGTGTTGGTAGGACAGAAACTGTCCGAAAGGTCCAGACCGTATCAGGGTGGGATTTGTTTCTCTTTTTTTGTTTGTTCTTCTCTTTTATAACTTTTTATTCCACCGGTGATTAAAAATACGATTTTCCTCCGGCTGTTGGCAAAAAGTATCCTGTAAAGGGTAATTTCGTGGACCACCCAGGGAAACTCATCAATTTATTCATTTTTACATTTTAGGCTAAGTAATATCAGCAAATATTCTAAAGTACACCGATTGCAATATTAAAAGTTTGAACTCCAAGAACCGGTGCGCCGATATTTAGCATTCAGTAAAAAGGATTGATGTTATCCCAATAAAATTTCTTGTTACAACGCGCGCGAAGCCCACGCGTGACGGACACGAAATGAAATCTTGCGGTGTTTCGAGTCTCATTCTGTCAGTGCCAATTTTTTATTCCTTCTCTAATGGCATGGGTTTCTCTGAGAGAATTTACAGATCGACAAAAGATTCGAAGGTTCAATCATAACTCACGAAAAACTCTTTAGTAGAGAAAATGTCCTGATATTGAGTTCGATCCAGGAGATATTTACCTTGACTCAATCATGAACATTTTATTCCTCGGAAATTTTCCGGAAAATATGGAAAACTTGGACCTCCCTGGGTGTTGGAGAAGAACGGGTGCTTTGTTTTAACCCATTTAATAAACGAAACGTTAAACTGAATATTAATGTTCTAAACTGAAAACAACGGTTGTTAAGTAGCGGCTGAATTCTAAATTGAAAACTGTCATTTTCTACCCGAAAAAAAAATTGAGCTAGTGGTTATGGGAGCAGCTTATTTTCTTTTTATGTTTCGCTGAGGTCTCTAAAAAAGCTCGACCTATTTGTTCAGTTGAAGTTATTCCAGCAAAAGCTTGATGGCTCCCAACGGCTCCCAAATACAAAATCACGATAACAAGCAGACTCCTCCACATACTCAGTGATTCTTCATACTGACAATTTTGTTCTCAGTTTGGTTTCGAAATTCTCCTAAAGAAAGAGAAGAAAAAATGAAAAGGTATTTCAGTTATCTGATATGAACATTCTCCAGGCAGATGGAAGACAAAGACTGACTTGCTGTTTTTGTTTTTTCCTTGAATTTCATTGTTCGAAATCATTCAGTCGTTGACTACCAGCCATATTGACCTTAGCGTGTGCGGTGTAGGTGTTTTCATTCAAGAAAAAAATGATAGGGTTTTTTTTCCTCATGATCTCTCATTATTTTGTTCTTGACATAATGTTCTACAAATGCAGTAAAAAAGCAGGAATTTTCGTTTTCCATGCCATCTTGCCCAGCGTGATAACATCCCATTTTTCAGTTAGGACAGGTGGTTGATTTTATGAATGACAACTTAAGGGTTTTTGGCACGCGATGTTTTTCGCGAGGTGGTCTCTTCCTAAAGATGGTCGCCACAGGGGGCAAGATTGTTGGAAAAAAGGAACTAGCTCATTTCCTCGAAATTCTCTGAGGCAAAGTATATATCAGAATGTTTTTTTTTTTTGCTATTTCGATTTGCACATTGTGTTCATACACATCTGACTTCGCAGTTTTCTTTCCGATTACTAATTCATTAGAATCTATAAATACTTTCGTGATATCGCGCGATGTCCATGGGACGTCCACTCACCTGTCAGACCTGTTAAAACAGAGAAACGTGAACTGCATCAATTTGTGTGATAAGCTAAATGTGCTATTAAGAGAATTCTGTCATTTCAGAGCTTAAGAGCAAAGGAAATTTACCGACCTTTCACCTGTTCGGCTATAATTGTTGTCGTTTCCTCCATTATGGAAAGATGATATGGACAATTTTCAGACTAAATTTGGAGTAAATGAAAAACTGCGCCTCCTTTTAGGATTAAGCTATAATTAACATGACCCGCTTGATGGTTGAGCATGTAAATTTAAACTTCCTCAATTTAAAGCACTCTCTAATCTTTCTTATCATCTTCAGCCAGTTGCTTCGGAAAAATAAAATATTTTCAAACAATTTTCGTTTGACTGAGTTCATTCGTTGTAATTACGCAACGTCCTTTCGTCTCGTTGGTCACTGCACCGAAAACCCTATGTAGAAGCAAACTGGTAAAATCGAGCAGTTTTGAATTATACATCATGTATAATTTGCTTTATCGCTGGAATAATCAAACTTAGACTGGATATTGGATATGATCTTCCACCTAAAAACACCTTAAACCTGTTTGATAACTGCCACAAAGACAATTGGTTTTAAATTAATTTCTTCAGAGAACTTCACGGAAGGACAAAGGTTTGTTTTGTCTTGTTTTGCGTCTGTTTGCTTCGTTTGTATTACTAAGAGAAGTTCGATATTGAAACGAAAGAAGGTTGTGTTGATGATTAAAGACTTTGGAAGATTAATTTCCCAGAGCAATTAGTCATTTTTCTAAATGATTATCGTAATGAGTTCTTCGCTAAGTTGTTTTTTCGAGACAAGAAACATTATTCAATATAATAACCGTCTTTAAACTAGACAGGTGGAGGAGAATGATCTCAATTTGTGGAAAAGAGTTTGAGAAAACATAACAGTGAGGCAAAGGAAATAATAGCGAAAGAGATGATTCTAGATCAACAGCTTAGCAGAAAAAAGGTTTTAGCCGACATCAACCAGGGCAATTATGCAAAGGAAATAAGAACGGGTAACTCATTAGATGCAAAGACTGTTGTTGACACGTCGCTAAAAAGTTCATGTCTTTCGAATGGTGGGAAAGTTTATCATAATTTAAAAAGAGTAAAAAATAGCTTTTTTCCTAATAAGAAGATTAAAACCTGTTAGGAGAGTTCATTCTTAGAAGATCTTGATTTCACGGTGCAAGCATTTACATCAACAAAACTAAGTTTTATTAACACCGAATCGTTCCTCTCTTCTTTTTTTAAAGAGCTGAATAACAGCTACAAAAGTGCTTAAGTCATCGATATTTAGGCTGATATTCATGCAAGTTATTCATCGATATTTGTGCCGAATAAATGCCAGTTTTAATATTTGAGCCAGACACGATTTGTATTGCATAACAGCTTTCACTGAGATCCCATTCATGTGACTTTATCATCTGCCCTCTTCCGATGAACATGGACTCTTGTCATCAATCACTCCCCAAATATTTTTACGTTTAGTTGTGTTTATGTATCTATGATATTTTTAGTGTGTGTGAGAGTGCTCATCGAGCTTGCTGTCTGAGTTTTTATCTCAAGTCCTTGGAAAAGTTCCTGGATTTCCTATCGTACTCAAAACAATATAAAAGTTATACTGAAACACACGAAAATGAACTTCGAGTTAAATCTACCTCAAAAATTTTATAATTAAGTGTAAAGTGAACTTGATTAGAAAACTTCTGACCAAGTACGGTTTTCTGTTGTTACTGATATTGAATTCGGTTTTGAGCACAAAGTCGTGGTCTACATTTGTGTGAGCGAGCTTCTGGTCCAATCTTGCGTTTTAAGATGACTCTTAACAGAACTTAACACCTTTCCCGTCAATATTTCAGGTCGCTAAAGGCGTTTATTGATAAGACAGCTTAAAGTGGCAATCCGCACAGTCTGAAATTATCTCTTTTGTGATGCAGGCCGCAACAGAAGACTTGTTACACGTGGCTGAAAAAAATAACGAACCTTTGCTCTTGAGGGCAGAATTCTATGTAGTTTTGTATTCTAGTGGCATGTGTTTACATCAGTTCTTAAACAGTCACCTTCAGTTGAAGTGTGCTTTAACAACCTTATTTTATATTCAAATACTATTTCCTCCATTTTGAATTTTTCAGTTACAACTAGAAGCCAAATTCATTTCAACTTATCTTAAGTTGATATAAATATAAGGAATGCGTGGTAAAGTTTACACCAAATTTCTTCGCTGTGCGACATCAAAATAAAGTTTGTGTTAAAGGAATCGGTGTCAAGACGAAACGAGGTGGCGTGGGTTTGGTGTGAAAACCGTAAAAAATTCAAAGTGTGTCTATATACAAACCACTAATTCAAAACTAATTGCTCGTAAAATCAAGCTAACAGAATGCAGATCAACCACGACACTAAATCTACCGTGTCCTGAATAAATTTCGGACCGCCCTATTCATTATTTAGTGTGGTTTCCGATTGTTTCGCTTGAAAAAAGTGACCACAACAATTCTGCCTTGTGACTGTCTTAATAAACCCTCTCTAAATTGATATGTCGCACACATCTCAAAGACACAATTTTCAGTTGAATCAATTTTTTTTTTTAATCTTAAGCCTCGCCGCTTTTTTAAAGTTGAGGGGCCGGATTAGTTGTAGTGAAGAACTAATTAATGGTTATACAAGGACCCCTGCCGACCTCGAGGGGCTAATTTAACTGATTGTAAATGTGGCGAAGAGAACTATCAATATTAAGTTCGATTTTGCCGGACGATAAACGCTATAAACTGAAACAGTTCAAACCTCGCTTAAGAACAACATAGCATAAGGTATTTTACCGGCGGTTAGACTGAGAAGAATTTGATATTCCACTGATTCAAAGGAAATATTTCTTTTACGTTGCTGATATCTTTTCGTCGAACAAATCTTTCCTGGCGT